ACATCCAAAACCATTTTCCAATCCATCTTTAAGCTAGTCAAAATAACAGGTTATTATTTCTTAAAACCACTTAACACTGAACAGATAGCACCTCTTCAAAGGCAACTGACTATACCATGTCACCATCATAGCCAATAAAACATTTTTCCAAACTTCCTAAAAACCTTTTTATATTGATCATGCTACTTTAGCACTTGCTAGCATCCCGACCAAATAAACACCCACACCTCTTATAGAGTACATTGTGAGAGAATTACATTGACTCGATATGGCATCACAATCGTTTAAAGCAAAAAAAAAAAAAAAAAATTATAATAATAATAAAAGAAGTCCAAGACAAGAAACTGTAACTGAGAGAAAGAGAGATCTGAGGTACACGGTACAAGGGTAATGAACATAATGGAAAAAATCCAATGGCCCGGTGATTTGCTGGGGATTTAAGAGTTGGCCAGCAATAAGAACTGAAACCCATTAAAAACAAAACAAAACAAAAAAACACTTAAAAAAAAAAAAAAAAAGACAGGCACCTGTCAAAATACATTGGATACTATAAGGCACTTTTTCCCCCAAAGCAGGCTGCAGGCAAAGGAATAAATGATGCGGCTACTGCGTGCACGGATACATTTGCCGATGAGCCAAGAATCAGGTCTGATAGCCCAGCCAAATCTAAAGCAGAGACACACAAATATAGGAGAACAGTTCTGAGCAATGTGGGCTTTAGTGATGTTCTGAGTTCAGAGTCTAGAATCACAAAAAGCCACGCGGCGTGAGGAAGTCATAACGTCCTCTGGAGTCTTCCTGCCCTATTTTGTACAAATGGGCAACGGCATGAGCAGCTCTTGAAAACTGGTCCAAGCCCACACCAGTAGAAGCCTGCACTCATTCTGAGCTAGAGTCTGTTGGCTTAAGGGGACTTTACTGTCTCAGCATTAATTTCCCTTTTAAAGCTATTCTCAGGGTCGGACTGTCTCAAAGATAAACAGAGGAATCCTTTTGGCTTAGATGCCAACTGGCTTACTCAGACTTCCTCCCCATCACTACCTCTCGTTCCCACACTACCAATATCTTCTTGAACTAGAAAATCATTATTTACACGACATAAGGTGCAAGTCTATTTCTTCTCCCAGCCCTGCTCCCTTTGGCCCATGGAGAGAAAATTCCCCTGCCCTCTTTGAGAAAAGTCACCCAATCCTGCCTAATGTCCTTAACCTGTCCGCCCCAGAGCTCCCAGGGGTGTGGAGACCCCAAAGGGGCTGGACTGCAGGAAGGCTACAGCTCCCTCCGAAGAGAAGCCACCCTGCTAGCAAGCGGATGAGGGTGATGCTTCCTCCTCCAGCCTTGTCCCTTACGCCCCCGCCTGTCTCTGAGCCGTGAGTGTCCCGGACCAGGATGGTGCAAGGCACAGCCTTTCATACAAGGCACACCGACCAAGGAGGACCCGGCTGTAAGACGCAGTAAGCCCTTCAGCGGGGTCCTGAGGCAGATCCAGCATAAAGGCTCCTCCAGGAGCAATCGGTTCTGAGGAGCTGTGTTCTGAGCATGTGGGACACATTCTGGGTGGGATCTGTCTCCGGCTCCCACCTACAGGCTTCTTGGCTGATACAAACCCGCATGGAGTTAAATTATGCTTAGCATAGATTTTTGGCATATTAGGATTTCCCCCCCTTAGGATTGGGCCAAAATAGGGGAAGGAACAAAATTTGGCAGGCTAGGGGAACAACTTACCCCCACTGATGGAGAAACACAAAAACACAGAGAGGAGGAAGTGAAGAAAAGATTTCTGTGTAAAGGCAGAAAAAGATCGGAACAGGTTGGAACCCCCTTAGTAGGAAGGGAGAAAGAAGGTATAAAAGAATCACCGGAACTGAGCTCCTCTAAGGCAAAACTTCCTACCAAGGGAACCAAAATCCAAGGAGAGGCTATCAGCCACTTAAACAACCAGAGCACCTTCTTCTGTTTAAAGGAGGAACAGGCAGGAGAAGCCAACCTAGCACCTTCCCCATCAGCGCCCCACACCTTTCGCACCAGACCCCGAGGACAGGACGGGACGCAGAAAAGGCTGGAGGCCCCGTGGCCTCGGGAACAGTAGGAAGTTACCGACTGCAGGGAGTCTGGTGCCTGTCTCCTTCCTCGTCAGGTTCTCTCACTTGCTGCTGCTTCCACTTGAGCTTCAGGGCTGTAAGTGTGTATCTCACTTTGTCTTTAGGCTCCAAGACACCCCAGAACTCGAGGGCCCACACCTCCTTCCATGCTGGGGAACTCCTCAGGGCCCGAGGTGCCCCGAGCCGAGTGGGCTCTGGATACAAGACCGCCTGCTCAGCTCTCCTCTCCGCAACGTCAGAACCCACCACCCGCGACCCCCCAGAAACTAGAATTCAGGGTTATGCTAACTCACCAAGTCCCGAACCCTTCTAAACACCCCGCAAGAGTCTCCTTCCTCGGAATTCCATCTCTGTGAAGCAGCAGCCTCACCACCTCCCTTCAGCGACCATCCAGAAATCACCTGACCTAGTTTTCCAATCACGCCAATTCAACGCCACTGAAACCGGGAAAACACTTCGTGCTGCTTAGCAGGGGGCTGGCCCCGCACAGTGCTTGCTGCCCCCAGCAGAGACAAGCGGAGGGAGGAGCCCCCGCGCACCGCATGCTGCAGACTCAGCCCTAGAAAAACCTCTGATCTCTGTCCACTGGGGATGCCCATGTCAGGGAAAGGGAAGAGAGAGAGAGGCAAGGTCCTTGTGAGATGAGAGGACCCTGGCGATGACAGCCCTGCCTTAGAAAGGGCTGGAAGATGAGGGTCTCCAAGTAGCCTGCTGGAATTCTTTAACCTGTGTCCTGATACCTAAGTGCAAAGTATGACTTCCTCGTCCACCGCATCCATGTCTGTGCTGAACGTCTGCCGTGGAGGGAGGGGAAATCCCTTGGTTCAATTGTATTTTTTCCACCATGATGAGGATAGGAGACCAGAGTCAAAATGGAGGCCTGATGACCTTCACTACGGAAACAGGTCCCTGGGGGTGAGGCCCCGGGCCAGTGCCACCCGCCCGCCACCTTCTTCCCCCACACTCTTGGGCTCCCAAGCAGAAGCTGTACGGTTGTGAGGTATTATGAAAACAAAAATGTGAATCATTTTCTTTTGTAGCTATTGATTTTGTCCAGTAAACCTGAGGTAAAGAATACTCTGTCTTTGAAGAATGTGATCAGAGAGGAGAAACAAAACAAAACAAAAAAAAACCAAAAACCAACCGTGAATACGCTACCAGAAGGAAAACTATGGAAAGGCTTTTCCAGTACAAAGAACTCATATCTCAACCATCTACTTCGGGGCTTGGAATTTAAGCAGTAAAATAATATATTATAAAAATGTTTATAAAATAGCAGCACACTCTGTGAAAAACATTACAGCTAGGTACTGTTAATGTGAATAAGGATGAATGATCATAGCTTCTTAGCAGCGCAAAAAAAAAACCAAAAAAAAAAAAAAAAACCGAACACAATAAAATGAAAGAGACCCTTAGATTTTTCTCCATCTTCAACCCTCATACTATGAAACAAGGCAGAATCTGTGTATAAAATAATTCTTCAAAGTAGCCCTGTTCTGATTTTTCTTTTTTACTTAAAAAAGGCAAATAGTTTAACAAATAGCTTCATTACCTGTCAATCATAATTGTGCAAAAAAAAAAAAAAAAAAGTTGTTGCTCCAACCTCTTTGCTGACTGAATGCGTTTAAGAAGTGGAGAGGAAAAATAATTCAAGTACACTGAATACAACTTAGCAATGAATTAACAGAAAACAGAAAAGGGAACAAAATGCCACACTGATATTCAGCTGTTTTTGCACCAGCAATGACTTTTCTTTCCATGTCCAAAGGAGAAGGATCTAGGTGGGAATTAAGATCTTTTACATGCCATCGAAATGATAACAGATCTTTGTTGTTAGGCTTTTCTGAGGAATGTTGTGATGGGAATGTCATCGGAAAGGGTTGTCTCTTCAGTCCTAGGAGGGACACCAGAGCTATGTACCAGAGAACGTCAGATACCAGAAGCAGAATAGTACCGGGGACTCCGGGTGGGAGAGGGAAGGGCACCAGACAAGGGAGGAGTCTATTCAGCATAATTTGCATAAACCATCCCATCTATCCCTCGGGAACAATTTTTCAAAGTGCTTTTCGAATGGAATGGTTTATAACAATGCTAAACTGTGGACCAGACATGCCAATCAGCACCAAAAATTAGTTTTCTCCTAATAAGGGATGCCAAGGTCACATTACTCTCTTTAGGCGAGTTAGAAGATTCCATTCCCGGTCCCACCCTCGGTCTCCATCTGCCTCTGCTTCACATGAGTTTAGGTAATGACCCAGAGCTACACTGCCCCGTTAGGCAAAATACGGTGGTATGTGCAATGAACCATGTTTGGAAGAAGCAGCAAGGTGTCAAAAAACATGAAACCGAGGATCCAATCACCTGCGTCCAACTGGAAAGTAAACACCTGTTCTGGGCAGCAGCTACTGTAGACAGCAAGAGTTCCTAACTAGAGGTCCAGCAACGCTCCTGACTGAGTAATAGGCAGTGGAGACCAAAGGTGCTTCTGCATCCAAAATGGTTCAGTCACGTTGCGGGATTATGCGTCCTCCCTCCCCACCAGTCCCTCCTCGTTTCTAGTTCCTTCTTGAGTTCATGGCTTTGCAACCTAATCATGCCGTAAAATGCATGCACAGTTCCTTGAAATTATCCTAGTAGGGTGTATATGTGCTAGTTCATAACATGAAAAAAAGCCTCCTCTAATTTGTTCCCATATTGCAGGCGTATATTTTCTCTAGCTACTCTGCAGTTTTCCTGTAAGCATTTTACTATTACGTTTAACATCATCAAACAATAACTGTTCGCATACACAAGGGATTCCCTTCTGATGTACTTCACATAGGGGCCAAATGCTTTTAATGATTCCGTTTATACAGGACCTTTTTCTCTCACTTCTAAAAGACCTTTCAAGGTGATCTAGGTGGGGACAGGATTTTTTTTTTTTTTTTTTTTTTTAAGCTTCATCCTAAAACATAAAGAAAAAACAACCAGAAAGAAGGAGAGAGCAGATCTGAACGCGTCTCTCCCCGTGCGGCCCGACCAACATTCTCACAGGTCAATATCCCGCACATCTGTAGGGGTGCTGGCTTGGTCCAGTTCGTCCTCCGACTTGGATCCATCGCCCTGCTCCTGGCGGAACTGCTGCAGGCTGCTGAGCAGCACCACCTCGATCTGCTCCTGGCAGGCTTTCAGGCAGTCCTGGGAGGAGAAGGGGACAGGACAGAGCCCGTTAGCAACATCGACACCCCCGCGGGGCAAGCCTCCCATCACCCCAGGCTCGTTTCCCAGGACAGATACAGGTGAAGTCCAGGAACCTCACGTACTCCAAGTCCATGCCTCGGCACCCCTGGGAGCAGGTTAGAGATGCAGAACCTCAGGTGATTCGTACGCACAGGAGAACCTGAGAAACACTGGCCTAGATGATGAGCCGCGGAAAGGCAGGCAGTGCCCAGGGATCTGAGGGCCACAGGCTGCTTTCTGCTCGGGAAGGGGGAGGTGGCAGAGGAGAGGAAGGCCTACTGACAAACACAGCCCGAGGGTAAGAAGAGAGCGGGTGAGCTGGGCTCTCACACACAGTGTTAAGTGCTTAGAAAAACATCTGTGCCGGGGCGGTGTGGCTCAGTGGACCGAGTGTCGTCCCGTGGACTGAGCGGTCCCAGTTCGAATCCCAGTCAGGGCACACGCCCGGGTTGCGGGCTTGATCCCCAGTAGGAGGCAGCCCATCAATGTGTCTCTCTCACAACGATGTTTCTATCTCTGCCTCCCTCTCTAAACTATCAATAAAAGCAAGAATTTTAAAAATATGTATGTACATGTATTTACATCTATATTTTAAAATCTGTTTTTCTGCTTATTTACCATTCCCTTAACTCTCCTAAAAAAATACAGCACAGAAAGTATGCAAAATTCTGGATACTGTGCTGTCCAATTTGGGTAGAAGCAAGAATTTGCAGGATCGCTCTGATGTTAGTCTATATTTGGTAGGGAAAACGCGGAGCGTCTGCCCCAGGCAGAAGCTTCAGTCAGCTGGCTGATGTGGAATACGATGGCAAGTCACGGAGGCACCAGGGAGAGACTGTGGCTCCTACTAGCAGAGCATGAGCTGAAGGGCTTGCGTAGTTAGTGGACATTTCCAACCTCTGTCCTCTGCAAGCCTGCTTTCTGCACTCTCTTCAGCAGCATATACCCACGGAAAGTTTGTTAAACTGAATCTGCGTGGTTCTTTCCAGTTTCATGAATGCCTCCCATTTGTCTGTGCAATTTTCACGGAACACAGGCGACTATTTGCCAAGCACATAGGGGTGATCTTTATGGCCCAAAGATCTAAAATGAAGTTGGGAGTCAGGCACAAAATTTCCATTCCCCGACTCCTCGTCCACTCCAGTTTTCAAACTATAGCTTTTTACGAAAATCCAGATTAGGAACGACTGCACGAGTGCTGAGGGCCGAGGTGAAACATCACGCAGAACGTGAGAAGGATAAAAAGGGTGGGTATCGCCGTCCTCCCACCATACTTGCGGGCAGCAGCTAAGTTATTTAACTTAGGTCTCAGTCTCGCCACTTGTAAGAGAAAGATAATGGAGCATTCGCAAAGATCAACTGAGATACTGTGTATGAAGTGCTAAGCGGCAGTGCGATAAATGGTAATTATTAATTAGAGTAACAATCAGCAGTCCAGGGATCTGAAGGAATTCTGTAGATTTCTTTTTTTTTTTATCCTCACCTGAGGACATTTTTTTTTGATATTTGGTTCAGATAGAGTGAGAGGGAGAGAGAAAGAGAGAAACATCGATGTGAAAGCGACACATGGAGTGGTTGCCACCCACACGACCCAACCAGGGTCGGGGACAAACTGCAACCAAGGTACATGCCCTTAGCGGAAACCGAACCCGGGTCTCTCCGGACCGCAGGCCGACGCTCTAACCGCTGAGCCAAACCGGCCAGGGCTGTAGATTTCTTTAAAATGAGATGTGCATCAGCATTTGCTCAAGATTGGTGAAGGGGGCACTGTGACTGGCACTGGAGACTGAATGTCAAACGAGACAGATGTAACCCAGCTGTGGAGGCCACCCTGAACCACCTACCGACATCCCTCAACTTTCCTGTGGCTTCTCCTGGTCACACCCTCTACCCTGTGCACCCCCCTCAGCAGTGATGTGAAAGCGGGTGGGCCTCTCCGCCTCTCCGCCTCCCCGCTTGGCTTGGCCCTTCCAGGTGCTGCCCCCAAAGGGCACACAGCAGCGCCGGGGCTCCTAAGTCCCTCAGCACCTGTCAGAGGTCTAGGTGGTGACGGCTAAAGGTATCATGTTTCTAAGGGCACTGGCATTTTAGTAGGAGACACTTGAAAACCTTACAGCCCTACAATCTAAAAAGTAATAATAATAATAATAAAAAAGTCAAAGTGAATGTGGAGGTTACCACACGGACAACATGTGACAGGTGAGTCAAAACAAGCCTTGCCCTGGCCGGTGTGGCTCCATTGGCTGGACTGTCGTCCCGCACACCAAAAGGTAGCAGGTTCAATTCCCAGTCAGGGCACCTACGGGAGGCAACTGATCTCTCTCTCTCCCTCTCCCTTTTTCCCCTCTCTAAAATCAGTAAGAACATACCCTTGGGTGAGCATCTTAAAAATTAAAAAAAGCAACTAGTCCTGACTATCCCTTAGGAAGGTCCTGCAGAGATGGACAGTGAGTCCATCTGTTCATTTTCCTTCTTGAGCTGGGACGGACAGCTCGTGTTCTATTTGAGCACCATCTGAACAAGGCGACTTGTTCTGAGGGGCCACCTGGTGGGCATAGCGCCCATCTTCAAATGCCAGAATCCTCGTGGTGCCCAGAGAGGCTCCCCCGGGAGGAGAGAGAGGAGCAGACTCCGAGCAGGACCCTCCGTCACTCTCTGGCGTGCCTCACTGACAAACATAAGGTAATATCATTTTTCTTTCTCTCTTTTTCTTGCAGAGATTAATGACTTGAACCCAGGCAGTTACTGCGTGATGCCCCTCCCGCTGTCGAGGGACCCCAGAACTACTGAGGGTAGGTTTAAAACCTGGTTTCTCGGAGGCAGGGGGAATGAAACAGAACTTCCAAACCACAGAGAGTGTACCTGTGGCCTCCGTGAAAGACAAACCCTCTCCAAAGCGTAGGGCACGAGAGCTTTTGTTACCTAAAAAGGGTGGCAGGGTTCGCAGCTGACCGAGGGATCATGCGTGCACACATGCACACGTGCGTATATTGTGCACAGGGAGAGACATAGCTCTGAACCGCTACATGTAAAAAGGCACGCCTGGTGGGTGTCAGCAACGAGACCTCTTTAGAGGACTTCACTCAGCACCGCCACCTGGTGAAGACCCTGTCCCCCAGAGAGAAACCCAGCGCCTCCCAGCCAATCCTGTCCGGCTGTCCTTCCTCAGAGGCTCCATCTTGCCCCGCGGAGAGTAATCTGGTCAACATACCAGTGGCGGCTGCCACGGTGCTGGCCACGCCAGCATCCCTGCGATGGATGGTCTGCCAAACAGGGAGACGGGCTCCAGAAAGCTACCACTCCAGTGTCCCTACTCTTCCTGGTTTTAGCCCTCACTTCCAGCAGCCTGAGACCTTAAAGGAACATTTCTGAGGCAATCCTATCCTACCAGGAGGGCTGGGGTACTGGGCAGTCACTGTACTGGGGTTTCAGAGCCGTGGGGCTGCAACATAACACACGTATGTCCGGTGTCACATCTATGGAAGTGCCAGCCAAGAACAGGAGCCCAGGCTTTTCTGAATAACATGGAGATTTCACGTGAAACACCCAGTCTCTGCCTTCTTCGGTCCCATTTTAGTCTCAATCTGAATCGCTACTGACTCCAGCCAGCCCCGGACCATCCATGCTTTCTCGAAGGGGAAAATGATGACGATAAAATGAAAACACATCCTCCAGTCGCCCCAGAAAGAGGACCTCTGAACGCCATTCCCTCGTCTCCTCTAGAGTCACCAATGACAGAGCAGGAAGCTAACCTCGCTGGGGTCAATCATGTCCCCCTTCCAGCAAAGCTCTCTGCCTAACCCTCCTGTAGGGTCCACTTCTGCACAACTTGGCCATTGTCAGCTTTGAGTCTCAACAGCCCGAATCTCGCTCTTAGCCGGAGGGAAAGCTTAGGTAAGGGCACAAGCCTGTCTTGTGTAAACAATATCGAGCCACCTGATGGTGGAGAGAGATCAGCACCCCCTTCCTCCAGACAGCGCTCACTCCCTGCATATTAACACCTGGTTTAGCATTTAGAGCCCTCCCTGGACTTCAAGGAGCACATGGACCTTCTGTGAGCTGGTGGGAAGGGAAGAGAGAGGAGTGGGCGCCATTACCTGCAACCAGGTGCCAACTGCAGAGTCCCCTTCCTGCCCGAGAGCCCCCACCCCCACCCCCCGTTCCCTGAGCCACAGCGCAGGACAGTGCCTGGGCCCGGGTTGGGGCAGGCAGGCCCCTGGAGAAGGCGGAGCCCTGCGTCCAATCCAGCAGAGCTGCTTGCTTGGACGTCAAGCTGAGGGAAGGAACTAGAAGGGGAGGCCAGCTGAAGAGCAAAGGAAGCCAGGCTGACAAGAGTGGGATCAAGTATTTCCCACGTGCAGACTTATAAGGCGACAGACACTGATAATTACAGAACCTGACGACTTGGGGGGTCCCAAGGGCTTTTGGACATTAACAGCAAAATGCCCTCATGTTATACCCAAACGGAAGCCTGGCTTGTCCCCGTTACTTTCAAAGCTAAGACTGGCCTTAAAATGACAACCCTCCAGTTTCAGGACCGTTTCCCTTATGTTCCTCTTTTTCTTCCCCGCTCCACGTGAAGACATATAGGCTGGAGAATCTCCAAGGGAGGGCGCCCCCCAGTGGCTGGGAAACTGACAGCGCCCAGCGGAGATGCGAGCGAGTGTCGTGGGCTCTCGTGGGCCCCAGCACAGCCTGCGCCGCGATGCCCAGACGAAGCTGACGGGAAGCAGAGTCATGGTGCTGGTCTGTCAGCCTGGACAGGTGGCATCCATGGCGCTGGAGGTCGGGCAAGCCTCCAGCTTTGATGGTGACAGGCCCCTCCGTGCCCACGCCCCCAGCCTGGGAGCCCTGACAGCCGTGTTTGTGACCTCCAGCTCGTTCACGGCCCCGACTTCCTCCGCTGGCTGGCTCGGGCCCGGCGCCCTGCACCCTCTCTGCTCCATGAATGGGCTGACGCAACTCCTACCATTAGCCCTCAGTGTAACTGCATTGTCACCACACACGCACTGCACTCAACAGGGGGACAAAGGGCTGAATGGGCCCCGGACCCGCGGCCAACTCAGGCAGAGACAACTTAGGAAACTGTCTCATTCTTCCTTTCTTCACAGGCTGTTTGGTGTATTTCCTTGCATACCAAATGAGGCCCACAGCAAAAATAAGGCAAGAGAGGGAAGCATCAGCCTCCAATTCTATTCCGCCCACCGCCTGCCCCCAGCTTCCTCTCCTGCGACTCTTCGCAAGGTTCTTGACCACAGGCCCTGCAAAGTCCACAAAGAGCAGTCTCGGAAAGCCTGGCCTTTAGGTCAAGGTGTGCTGGGAGGCGTTGCTGTTTCTAGCTGAGGAGGACGGAGACACAATGCGAGGGGCCCTGTGAATACCGTAGTCAAAACAGAGACGCCCTTCACTTGACGGCTAACTTTTCAAATAGCTCCCTAGCAGTCAGGATCATAACATCCCAGCGTGACCCTAAGGAAGGGATAGCTCAGCGCCTCCTCTGGGCGATATGTTAGACCGTGCCAGAGTTTTGACGTCACCTAGATAGAAGGAAACGAATGTACCGACCAGATAGATCAGTAGCGGCTATGTCTGTCCTGTTAAAATATCTTCCAGGAACTTCACAGCATCATCATGGCCTGTCAGTCTCAACTCTGACTTTTTATTAGTAAGTAAAATTGTGTCATGTGAAAAATGAAATGACTTGCTTGAAGATCAAGTCAGGTCCCACTTTCTGAGGGTACTGACATAATTAATGCTAGGAAATTTATAGCTGTAGAAAAGACCTGGAGAGACCAAAGGACTAGAAAGAAACACACGTGAAACTCATGTGCCCAGCCTTTGTCCTCCATTCCTCCCTTCCTCCTTCCCTCCTGGTCTTCAGCATCATCCCCCATGACTGCCATGGGCTACGGAGAGAGCTGAATAAAAGCCGGGTCTTGTTCAAGAGGTTCTATAGACAAGTGAACAGCGAGATAAACGCTGGCACAGGGCATGAGCCGAGTGCCCAGGAGACGGAAGAGGAACCCCGATCCTGCCCGGGGAAGCAGGGAAAGGTTCGCGGGGAACCAGGACAGCCAATCCCCCTCTCAGACTTACCCTTGGCAACGGAAGCCCAGTAGAGGTTCCCCCCCAAAGCCAGAACTGCCTCTCTGGCTGGTGTCTGCTTTTAGCAACACTTCTGAGTGGAAGGAAAAAGTACTTAAAATATACCACCCTCTGAGACTTTTATTCCCTGTAAAACTGTCAGGCTTCTCACTCAGCTTTCTGTTTGGAATGAAGCGTTCCGGTTTATTTTGGCAACCAGAGGGAGCAACAAAGACCAACTTTCTCAGAGCCGCATGGGTCCCTCCTATCAAAGCTTTCCGCTGCGGGCCAGGGAGCCACAGAAGCTCGTCCGGCTGTCTCCAGCCAATCAAGGGGACCCCCTTTCCAACTGTCTGATCCCTGACAATCCCTGCCCAGCGAACACTGTAAGCTTGGTGACCACAGATAACAAGGTGCACGGGGCAGGCCCAGAGCCTGGGGGGCTCCAGGGATCCTCCCGATTCCCATTCAGTGCCCAGAGCCAGGGGGGTGAAAAGCGGTCCCGCACGCCTGACTTCCCCGGGGAAGAGCGCAACACTCACAGTGTGGCCCAAGGACACTGTATGTATGCATACGTATATATTTTATGTGACAAAATACGGATAACAGAGAATTTACCATCTTAACCGGGTTCAAGTATGCAGCGGCATTAAGTTCATTCGACAGGTGATGCTACCCTCTGCAGAACTTTCTCACCATGAAACACCATACCCATTCAACAGTCACCCCCATTCCCTCCCCATTTAGGCCCTGGTAACCCCTACTCCACTTTCTGTCTCTATGAATTTGACCACTCTGGGTACCTCATGCAGATGGAAATATAAAACATTAGTCTCGTTGTGTCTGGCTTATTTCACTTGGCATGTTTTCAAGTCTCCTCCACGTCACAGCATGTGTGAGAACTTCTTTTCAAGGTTGAATAATATTCCACTGCATGTACATACCGCACTTTATTTCTCCATCCCAAGGACATTTCCGATCACAGTTTACTCTGCTGTGGGAGGCCTGCATGTTGCATCAGGCCTGGGAGCACCTTCCTCTGACTTGATTTCCTACTGCATTTATAGTTCCTAACACATTATTTACCTTTCGTTTATTCGTGATCTACATTTGCATGGGTCTTAAGTACCATACGCTTGATTCTCCGTACTGGTTGCTAAGTCTCTTGAAGGCAGGAACCTCATCTTTGTTTTTCCATGCATTACCCACCCCCGACTCCCAACTTCTACCTCGGTGCCTTCGGTCCATGCCTTGCTCAGAATGTAACGGTCTGCAGCACGTGGGCCTTCAATCAGTACTTCCAGAAGCGAAGAGAGTTAAGTGCTTGAGTGAAATACATCATTTCTCAACTCGCGAAATGATAAACAGAGCTCAGGAAGCAAAACTCGCCTCCCTCTAAAAGCTAACGCATTCATTCTAAATCCGACTCTAGCCCTTATATTTTCCTTACTCGGAGCTTCAGCTCTTCAGATAACAGGCTGACGGGTGGGAGGAGACTTAGCACTGACCCAAGAACTTTCTTAGCAAGAGCGTGAGCAAACCTCCGGGGAACCGAGGTAAGCTTGGAACTTACTGCAGTCTCAAGCTGTTATCTGAAACAGTGGTACACATTTCAGATTCTACTACGTTCACGCTTGGCTTTTAATATTACAATGTTTAACCCCAGGACCACCAGTGAGAAGGAGGCTTGTGCATGCCTCTCGGGTTCAACAGCTGGGTTTACAGAACTCTGGGGGGTTTTGTATCCATTTAACCCAGTCTGATAGCTGACTCCAATGCACCGGCTGCACCGTATTGAGAAGCCCAGGTAGGGTCTCCAGTATGAAATGAGAGACTAGTTTGCAGTCTTGAAGAGCAAGTCACAGCCTGAGAGTCTTACTGGTACCCCAGGAATGACTTCTGTCCATTTGAAACCAATACCAGAGAGATGGCAGAAGGCTGGAGACCCCCCCAGATCGGGCAATCAGCCAATCAGCCAATCAGAGCAGGTCTATCTTTGTAAGTATCTGAAAGATGTTACAATGCCTGGGAGTCAAATTCTTGTCACTAACATTTTTGTCTCCGGGGTTGAGGAAGGGCTGCTGGGCGTCCTTGTTGCAAGGCAGCCTTCATAGGAGATACTCAGGGAAGGGAGGAAGCGAGTCATTTCTCTCAATGTTAAGCTCTGTCTCCCGGGGGTTCCGAAAGCCTTCTTCACCTGGGGCTGCACCGGAGGGGTCATCTCATCGTGGATTTTGGAAACCATGTTTCAAAACAGCCTATGCTTTCGGGGGTCAGCATTTTAAAAGCATATCTAAGGACCCGGGTTTGTTCTGTGGCACCCCCACACCTCCCTGCGTCATTTCCTGGAGATGGTCATAAACCACAAGGCAAAGCATCAGTGGGAGGGAGGCCCTCAGATTTAACCTGCTCGGCGTCCCTGGTGGAGGTGCGGGCCACAGGCCTGTCAACCTATTATCCCTCACGCAACAGATTCCCATAGCACAACATTCAGAATCCCCAGGCACACCCCGAGGGGCTGTCATAAAGTCCCCTGCATTCCTGAGCCTCTCCATGGTGACTCTCAAGGGCCTCAGAGCGGACACCCCACTCTTGGGTTGCCTTTAGACCAAAGGCCTTTTTCAAACAAAAAGATCCCAGAGCTGCAGCCAGGGTGGAGAGCAAAGTCCCCAGGCCCAGGCCGGAGCGTCCAGGTTCCAGCCCGGCTCTGCCATTGCCACCATTACCCGACTGGTGACCTCAGCCCCGTGCCTCCGACCTCCAGAACCACCCCAGTGCGGACCTTCCAAGGCCTGCAGTTTCCTGCCAGCTGAACGTGAGCCTCCCTTTTAACCCTGGCCGGCCGGTCTCAAAACCTTTCTTCTAGTAAGGAGCTTCAAGTTCTGACAACCAGAATTACAGCCTCTGGGCCTTCCACAGGGCAGCCGGCATGGAAAAATCTACATCTAATAATAGTCCCTCCGATTGGTATGGCAATGTATTCTTTTCAAAGTGCGTTTTAACCCACTGCCACGTTGAACAAAAAGGGGGCGAGAGGCAGGCACGGTGGACGCCACTCTCATGGTGGGGACCTCTCTCCCGCCCACTCCCTCCGGGACAGCAGACCCTTGCTCTGGTTGTCCTCGCTCCTCTCTGCCTCAGCCCGGCCCTAGCGTGAGCAGACAGCCCAACGTGTACATAAATGGAAACCAAGCAACAGTACAGACCGCTGGGAAGCCCATGCCATAAAGGAAAATCGGTAACCAGCCTGCCCCCCGCACCTGCTTGCAAACTTCTTTTCTGTGTATTGGCACAGGCCTGCGGGACCTCTGGAGGAGGCCTCACCTGCTAGATCTTGCACTTCCCTGGATGTGGTCGTGGAAAACAGAAATCAAGAGCTAGACTACCTCTGACACCCATCGTCACCCCAACTGTCCCCTTCTCCGAGCTGAGAGAGATGTCTGGTCTCAGCCAAGGTGGCTGCCACCTACCACGTCGGTGTTGGTGATCTTGGCCAGCAGCTCCACCAGCGCATCGCCAGTGAGCGAGCTCACTTCCTCATCCTGCTGCAGCCCACAGATGGCAGCTCCCACACTTCCAGTTGCAATCATCGACGGTGGGTACATGGCGAACTTGAAGTCTGCAGAGACAAGAGGCAGAAGGTCAGGGAACAGGAAGAATTGGGATCCGGGAGCTATCCAGCCTGAAGATACTCAGAAACAGAATGGCCGTGGGTCAGCTGCAGTGACCCCGACCCTACAGACCCCACCTCTCCTGAGACTTTCCTTCACAGGACACCCTTCCTGTATCGGCCACCATGGCGCCAGTTCAGATGTACAATGAAGACACTGAGGCAGGGAACAAAGAAGTCACAGGGGACTCAGATTCCCAGCCCCTCGGTGCCACAGTCCTGTGAGGGATGTTCGGCTCTGGTGGGGCAAGACGGTGAGTAAGACACGGTCCCTGGTCCCCTCTGGGGGCGATGGCACGAGCAGAGTGGGGCGGTCTGAGACCAGTGCAGATAAGATAACCCACGTGCCAGCCAAGTGAGACAAACCAAGAGCTCTGGATGGAAGGAGGGACAAGCACAAGCTGGTAAAATTCTCTGGACAGGCATCAAGGACTAATCTGACCCATAAGAAAAGACAAGTTTATTATGAAAAGAAATAAAGTGAAAGAAGCAACAATGGAGAGGATGGGGTGTCGGTGGGCATGTTTCACACAATTCCCAACTTCTAGCCCAATGCCAAGACCCTCAGGACACTAGGTGTGCACAGGAATTGATGGATGGGTTGGTTTAGTTTTTATGGCCTGAAGATCCCGTTTTCTTGCCGGGATGGGGATGGGGTGGGGGGCTGGTTTGCAAGAGAGTGCAGAAAAAGGGTAAATCTGTGGGACCCAAATCCCAGCTACTTCCACTTTTGCAAAAGCAAGTACAGAGGATGCTCCTGTGCTGAGGGCTCAGCCGGGGAGCCTGGACTTGTGTCGATACGTTAAAGAGGTTAGTTTCCTCTGGACTCTTCTGCAGGACATGCTCATCACCCCAGTGAGTCTGCTGAGTGTAGGAGCAGGGGCTGCGGGGGTGGGGAAGGCATGGGTTGCACTCCAACTTGTAGCATAAACATTGAGTCGAACCTTCAAAAACAGTTCGACGTCATGTTTCGCCTTCTCTGTACAACACCCATGGAAGCACTTTCACTGGTGACCCGCCATCAGCACCCAGTCTGTGGTGCTTCTAGAAACCCTGCCGCTCACCGAGCCATGCACCTGCCTCCCTCCCGACTGGGCTGGACCCCGTGAACGCAGCAGGCCTGGCCATCTGACAGTCTGGCTTTCTCCCTGGCTTAGCCCACTCAACATTTCTGCCTCTTGGGGGACGTGTATTATGATGTTCCGCCCAAAGCCTGCTGTCCACTAGCTCCAGTGCCTTCTCCATCCCTATGGATGCTAACAAAGCCAACCTCCCTGCCTCCTACTCTGCTGTAGGTCTCTTCCCCATGGGGTCACAGGAGTGGTTTCTCTGCCCAGTAACCTCATTAGCTCCCCCCTGTGACATCATAATGCAGAAGAGGAAGCCAGCCCTGGCCCTGGGCCCACAAAGGCCTGGGTGGGAGCATCTGGCACGGAAGGGCAGAGGGTATCATCCCTGGCCTCCCCTCCTTCCACTCAGGCCTCAGACCAAGAAGCACCCTCACACATGCCTATCTTTGTCCCTCTGCATACAAAACCAACTCCTCTTTTTAGCAAATTAACTCACTTTTGGAAGCCAGGAGGTATATAGGTGGTCCTGGGGTGCAGCAGGCATTAGAGGTGCCCAGGACTGTGCCTCTTTGTTTTGCTAGTAAAACTCTGAGGGGAGTCCTGGGGACACCGTCCTCTATCCCTCAGAACTGGGGAGCACCGTGTGCATGAACGTGGCTGCTCCTCGACAGCTCAGCAGACTGGGCAGAGTACTCCTGTGGCAGGAGGAGCTGCCGGGAGCCAGGCTGGCCACTTGCCCACTGCCACCCTCTATGGCAGCAGACTAGGGCTCTCTAGAGCCCAGAGCAGCTGCCCAGCTCGCCTGCTTAGTCAGACAGGTGGCAACGTTAGCACTAAAAGGCCAGGTCCAGCCCAGTCGGTGTGGCTCAGTGGGTGAGCATCGACCCATGCACCAAGAGGTTGCCAGTTCGATTCCCGGTCCGGCACATGCCCAGGTTCTGGGCCAAACCCCCAGTGGAGGGCCTGCAGGAGGAGGCCAATCAATGTTCTCTCTCATCAATGTTTCCCTCTCTCTCTAAAATCAATAAAGAAAAAATAAATAAATAAAAAGCCAGGTCCAGGCATGGGACCTTGAACGAGTCACTTCCTCCCTCAGCCCCTGGAATCCCATTAAGATCAGCATTTTTCTAACCTCCAGTTGCAGCTCATTCATGGTCATGAAACTCATTAGTGGGGCATGACCAGCAATTTCGGTTGTTGTTTAATGGGACAGAATAGGATAGAAAGTATCCTATGCAGTAAGAGTAAATACCATTTTGATAAACTTTTGTATCAGTCTGATGTATTTATGTGTCTCCTGAGTTGTGTTATAAAGTATATTTCTTCCTTATAGGTTTAGGTCAAAAAGTTTAGCTAGACCCTAGGCTAGCTAATTTCCCAGGTGCCTTTTTTAGCTCTTACTCCCTTTTACTCAAATGTCTGGAATAAGAATGACTCGCCCTGGCCAGGTGGCGCAGTTGGTTGGAGCGTCGTCCCGTACACCAAAAGGTTGCGGGTTCAATTCCCGGTCTGGGCACACACCGAGGTTGCAGATTCGACCCCCAGTCGGGGTGCATATGGGAAGCAACCGACCAATGTCTTTCACATCAATGCTTTTCTCTCTCTCACCTTCCACTTTTTCTAAAAGTCAATTAAAAACATATCCTCCAGTAAGGATTTAAAAAGAAAAAGAACAACTCCCAAGCAAAAAAAGAGCAAGGAAGAGACAACAGAACACCTCACGGCTTCCATCAGCGATCACGAGGTGTCTGGTTCTGCATGGCACCTGGGGCTGCCCCAGGGCCACCTCAGGGACACCCCCTCTGCTGGCAGGGAAACAGCAGAGAGAAAAACACTAGAAGAAACCATCTGAAGGGTCATGTGCTTGCGCCAGCTCGCGTCAGCCAACCCCTACATTCACCCGTGGAAAGTTCTACCCAACCCACTCGGCCATTCCTGGAAACCTCACAACCGTGGCTACGTCACTGGGTGGAGAAATGCTCACGCTATCCACTTGGGCTGGGGTGGGGCAGAAAAAACACGCATGGGCGCTAATATTACGACCTTTCATAAATATGTGGGTACACATATACACATGCATAAAGATGAATTAGGAGAGTGTACACAGAAAATGTATACAAATTTTACCACCACTAGGTTGGGGAAATAAAGTTTGGGAAGTTTTCTTCTAGTATTATTTTACTTTAACAAATAAAAACCAAGTACAAATCTCTCAGAAATCTAAGTCGCTTGGTCGAAAAGTCCAAGCCACTGTATCTCGGTGCAGAAGGCACACACTCAGAGAGTAGGGTTCTCTCTCCACCCCCAGCAGCCCACCTGGAAAGGTGAGGTGTCTGTGACTTTATGAGACTCCTCCTTCTCCGGAAGCAGAGTGAGAAGCAATGAACTGGTCAGTGATCCATTCTGACTGAGTTATTGCAATGTGTTCCTCCCTGCTCCAGGCAATATGTACAGTAATATGGTACAGCATGGTGCATTCCCAATGGCTAGGTGTACACACGGGTAACTTCTAAAACAACTTCTCAAAGAAAGAAAGGACTTAAGTGGATAGAAGCATTTGAGACACTTAGCAGGGCTCTCCAAGGAGACGGGTAGGATTTGGCCAGTAGGACCGAGAAGCTCCAAGAATTGGAAGGTGGGATGCATGGAGGGTGCTGTCCCACCACCTCCGGCTGTGTGGAGATGGGCATGTTACCTGACTTCTCTGAGCCTGTTTTCCCACTTGCAAACAGGGATAAATTATACCCACCCCATAGGCTCGTCCTGAGGATTAACTAAAATAATCCACGTGAAAGCACAGTGCCTGGCTCAGCCCCCTCCACCATCAATCACTGTCATCGCCACCGCTGTTCTTACCGCTGGGACCTCCTGCGGGACTGCACACCTGGGGAATCTGCTCACAGAAGTGAGGAGGCGCCCAGCACCCTGGACTGCAGGCAGGCGCTGAGAGAGATGAGGGTTCTGTTCACCTAGAGAACCTTTCATTCTCAGTTGTGGACGTATCCCAGAAATGACCTCATCACGTCCCCCAAGCCTCCTGCTGGTTCGTCAGGAGTGAGGAACTGAGGCCCCACAGGGCAACAGAAAGCGGTCACACGCACACAATGAATGAAAGACAGAAGCTGGCAACTCTCCTCCTCGTTGAGTCCATATTCATGCAGGGGTGGTTCACCCAGAGCCAAGGGGCTCGTCGCCTCTGGCACAGCCTCTCACCTCCTGGTGAGGTGGTGGAGCAGGGGGCACACCTGCGGGGAACCCAGCCCTCCGGGCGAACACAGGCCTCTCTGATGCTGTCTGCTTGTTCATCCATGTGTAAGGGAGGGTGAGGTATTAATAACAATGTCAAGTTCACCCATTTTGAAACATTTCCTTTTACAGGTGAATCAGCGAAGTCTTGAGCAGTTAAGTGTCTAATGTCCAATGCTGGGCTTGGGGTTAAGATCAAGACTTTTGGACTCTGGATCCAGTGCTCTATGTAACTCACCAGAAGGGAAATGCTCAAGTCACCTCCCACATCCCACTAAGGAACACAGGGTCCTCTTTCCTATCAGAAAGCCCACAAGAAAGAGCCCTGGCTCAAGGGTCAAAGAGATGGGTACTAGTCCCAGCCATGGCACCAGCAAGCTATGTGACCTGCACACACCACCTACCCACCCACGGACAACTGGGATGCTTCATCTGGACAAGGGCAGTGAGATGTGCCCATATTTGTCAGGTTGGTGTTTGTACTTCTTGGTAAGATTTCACTAAAAAAAACATTGATGAGCTAAACATGTTTAAAACCAGATTCCATGGCCCTGTGGGTAAATTTAGCGCAGATGGTTTTGGCTCTGGCGACCAAGGCCTTGAAGTACAAGAGCGACTGCTTTGCTTTTGGCCACCACTAGGGGGCGAGAGACCCCAGTTTTGTGGCCGAGGGGAAACAGAATCCAGGAGATGAGGCATTTTCCTGTCTCTCCCCCCCTCCTCCAACGGGCGACCTCGGCAGGACACACCCCATCAGCCACCCCCAGAGCAGGTTCGGCACACCCTGTCCTTGTGGAACAGGACTGCCGTGACAAGCTAATGCCAACTGAACTCCAAAGGCCTAAGTGGGAGGAAGCGGGGACGGGAGGCAGGAGAATGGCAAGCAGACCTGCTCCTCGTTCATCTGACAGTCAGATGGGAAGTGAGATAGCCCTCGTCACTCTGCCTGTCACACTGCCTGTCCCCACGGGTGCACTTAAAGAACCGAGACTCTGGGTTCTTCCCAGTTCAACTCACCACTTCCCCTCAGCCCCATGACCTTTCAGCTGGGGAGGCAGCTAGAGACTCGCAGCTGGAAAGGTGGGTGCAGCTCTTCCTTCCTGGCAACCGTGAAGGCAAACCTCCCTTTCTGGATCAGAGGCCAAGTCATGGACCCTCTCTGGGCCTCCACTGTCTCGCTGTTAATTGTACCTGCTGATGGCAAGTCATGCAGCACGCTTTGGTAGAGCCCGGAGGGCTGGGAGAGCCCACGGTTGTCATCGTCGTCGTCGTCGTCATCATCATCATCATCATCATCATCATCATCATCGCGGGGGCTCAGGCCCTGGGGAAGGGAGCTGGGGAGGGGCTCTCCGGTGCATGTCACAGATAGCTAAGCTGAGCTCGTTGAGGTGGGGCTCCTGGGCGAAAGGAGCTCGGAGATGTGGGGTGCAATGGGTAGGGAAGTAATGCATCCCTTCCCCTACCCCCACCCCAACTTCCAACTCAATGCCATTGGCCCTTCTAGACTAACTGGAATCATCTGCTGAGCATGATTTCATGCATCAGGAATCTCCCGATGCAGGAGTGCGATCCCGAGTCATCTGAAATGGCCTGCTTTCCTTGTCGGCACACCCGGGGCTCTACCATGAGAGCTGCACGGGGGGATGCTGGGGCTCAGCTCCGCTTCCCCAGGATCAAAGCTCTAGGAAAGGGAATCCCAGGAGCTGGTAGTTATGAAGGCCTCGCCCTCACCCCAGCGCCTCCCCCAACCAGGACAGCTTAGAGAGGAATGCCAGGCGGTTTGAAGCAATCCCTTCCAGAAGCCATCCCAGCAGGGAAGGGAAGGAGGGCACCTCTCTGTCTTGCCACCATCTTACCCTTCAGCGCCGAGAAGGCTGACTTTCCGCTCCCCTCCTGCGGCCCCTCGGTGCTCTCCCGCTCCCTCTTCCCCTTTCGCACACATCGCTCTGCAGACTGCACACCAGCCTCTCCAGCTCTTTCACAACCAGCTTTCCCCATAACCGAGCCGCAGAGCCTGCGGCCGCTCCCATCTCCTCCAGACCCCTCGGGCCTCCAGGCCTTGGCTGCAGGTGCTTCTTCAGCTCCATGACCAAAGGCCCAGAATCGGGAGGGAAGGGAAAGAGATGTGACGTGGAAGCAACAGGCTAGAGGGGCTCAGTGTCACCCACCTGTGGTTCTCAGTGACCCCGCACCTGCTACTTACCAGACAGTCCTAGGCACTCACCCATCCGTCACACTCTGGCCCCAGCATGTAGAAGCTCATCTACCCAGAGGGTGTTTTCTCCAAGAGCAGCCCTTGGCTGCTATACATTGTCTGTGCCACTGCACAAACGTCCCCACAGTGGGGATTCTGGATGACTCAGTCACTGTCATCACTCATGGGCAGATCAGGGAAAGGGATAGGAATATCCTTTCTGAGAACCTCCGTCTGCTCTGACCAGTCCACACCCGAGGCTTGGTATTTGGCACATGGTTTTTCGTTTGGTGAGAGGTGTTATTTCTCCTGTCTGTCCCCATCTCCTGCCCAAAGCCAGCTCAAAGCTCCCAAAGGCAATCTTCATGACTTCCTCTGCCTCCCCTCAGACCTCTGTCCTCAGTCCCTGAATCCCAGGCTCCCTACTCTGGCCCCAAAGTTGGCAGCCACCCCGAGGATCTGGGTAAGAAGGCCAGGAGTGGGGGATGGGATACCCAATTTTAGAGAATAGGCCTTTACAGAATCTCAGGATCTGCCCACGCTTGGGTTCTTCCACTCACCAGCCCAACCCCAATCAGTGATCAGAGAGGAGAAATGGGTGGACAGACCCCAAATGATCTGTCAGTCAAGAGACAAGGTCGAAGCAGAACTCCGGCTACCAACAGCTGGGCAATGGGGGAGCTTAGGGTCAGGGTCAGCTATCCTAGGGCCAGAGAAAAAAGAACGGGTTGACCCCTCCCCCCACAGTGAATCATGACAAGGGAAAGGAAAGGGACAGCCGGGCCTGGGAGACAAAATGACAAGTCAATGAGACCTGACCTCCAGGGCCCAGGCCAGACAGCAGAAGGGAGGAAGCATAATAATGGCTACTGTCTAAAAGTGGCAAGGACCCAGGGGCTCCGAAGGATGGCCCCCCGGCTGCAGGAAGGGCGGCTCACCCTCCCACAAAGGGGCACAGCACACACACCACGAGGCGGTCTGGACCTGGGAGGGAAGGGCCAAGGAAAACCAGCGAAAGGAATCTCGAGCCCTGGGATCGAATGTGGGCAGCGCGGAATCCTCTGTCCAAGCCAGCGAAGGCAGACGGGAGTCCCCCTGGAATTGGATGCGGGCAGCTGCAACAGTCGTCACGTCCGTCTCGGCTGCAACAGCGCAAATCCGAGACGGTGGCATTTCCCCAGTTAGTCCCGCAGCACATTGTCCTACACGTCCCTTGGTTTACCAAGCAGTCCCTTGAATAAATACCCTCTTTCTGATGTTCCGTTTGCTAACCGCCTGGAAAAGGCTCTACAGGCATGTTTTGCACACCAAGCTGAGGTTCCGAGGGGTTGGGCAGCCTGTCCAAGTCTCCCCAGTGAGAAGTAGCAAAGCCTGACCTTTTGACTGTGAACACCCAGCGTCTTATAAGACCATCTGTACATACTTCGAATAACATGTAACAAGATATTGGAAAGGTTAACCCCCTGGAATCTCACCTAGCCAACTCATACCACTGTTGGCAAACTTGGGCTGAACTCCCCTTCCGGCCAAAGATCTCTTCACCTAACATTTCTGACTGGGAAACAGGAATCACTGACCTCTGCCCCCTGCACATGAATGTTCCAGGTTCTGTCCCGTGGCCATTACCGCGAAGGAAATGGGAGAAAATGGCCAAGGTTCAGTTTCGTGAGACCGTATCAAACCACACTGCCTTTAGTTTATTAGGAAAATGCAAAGCTAATGGGCCAGTAAGAACTATGTATCAATTGCGGGACCAACACGGGGGTAGAAAAGTTTGAACGTGAAAAAGTCAGCTGCCATTGTTGCATTAAAGCTGCAACCGAGTCAAAACAGCAGCTCCAGGGTGTCGGTGCTGAAAGCCCACCAGGTTCCCTCCCCCACCCAGCAGCGGATGCCCTCCAGCAAAAAGAATTCCTCTGGCCTCCCAGCCACTCATCAGGGAAGGCGCCTATTTATCTTGACAGTGTTCCTTTCACCTGTATTTGCTCCCAGCCCCAAATTTCCTCCTGGGCTTATCTCCAAGCCATCCTTTTCCTCAAAAGATTAAAGATTTAAACACAACCAGAGAACAGTATATATAATCTTCAAAGAGCACTTTAGACTTCATAAAGAATATTTTAACAGGGACTATTTTTTTTTTCTTTACCACACCTGTCCTCATAAACCATTTATGAGGTTAGTGGAGAAAGAGAATATGCCAGCTCAGATGAAGAAAAACCAGCCCAGGAATGAAACCTTGGACTCTAGATTACTGGAGACCACCCCTTCCTCTAAGCCCCAAACCCAGTTTGCCTCCCCTTGACCACCCCACAAAGGGCTAACAGGGCTCTTCAGTCCCCGCCCCCCGCCTGCTCCTACCGGTGGCACACAGAGCGATGAAGGTCTGCGCATGCTTGCGGATCAGAGGCACCTTCTCGCTGGGCTGGGGCAGCCGGCGGAGGATGGGCTCGATGAAGTCATGAGGAGTGACTGCGGCCAGGTTCCACTTCAATTTCCCCAGCACCACCAGCTCCCACTCCTGGTGGGGAAGGGAGGAGAGAAGAGTATAAAACCCACAGGCTGACCTGGTGGTGTGGGGACCGGAGGGTTGGGATCCAGACAGTTTTAATGATGCTCATTAGGACGCTGCTCGATTGTAAGGCCGCTCATTTGTCAAAGTGCTCCTCTAGCTTTGAAGTTGCTGACGGCTCTTCTTATGCTTCAAATGTCAGGCTCCACGGAAAATAATGAGAGCCCAGGTAGTGGCTGCCAAGATTCTACTTTCTTCTATTTCTTTTCCTCTCCAGCTCCCCCACCCCCACCCAACTCTGACTTCCATGCAATGCTGTTGCCCGCCGCCCAGAAAGTTGAACCTACAGTGAGGTGCTGCCAAGGTCATTGTGGCCCTTCTGGAGTAATTTATTGTATATGTCTCCATCACAGGATGGAGTCTTTTTAATACTCATGGAAAAATGATGCACACAGATAATGCTCAAAATAAGGTTCCTTGGCCCAAATCCTTGGCAACCAATTAGCTTGCTTTTAGTTGGCGCCAAAAAGTGCCCTTTTTCTCTCTGCTGGTAAAACTTTCCCCTCGACACATAATGCAGAAATCTTGGGGCAGCGATACTCAGCCACAGAGCACTCTTTCACCTAAATGTTTCCTAGGCCTTTGCCATCATCACTGAAGAACCAGGAGGGCCATTAGCAACCCTACTGTGCACCTGGAGGTGATTCCGAGTTAAGGTGAAGGTGCTTGTCCGGGCTCATAGAATCTTAGTGTCAAATGCTAAGGGGGAGACAATACAACCTTGTCTCTTTCCGGTCTTTCATCCGTAGCCCATCTAGTAAAAAAAAACAAAAACCTTGCTTTCCTCCCTTATTGAGGTATTTCTGGGGAATTGTGTTCAAAGGGAAACAAGCCAAAAGGAACATCTTAAAAATGTGTAACTGGCCTGGCTAGTGTGGCTCAGTGGTTGAGCATCCACCCAGGCACCAAGAGGTCACCAGTTCAATTCCCGGTCAGGGCACATGCCCAGGTTGTGGGCACGATCCCCAATGGGGGACATGCAGGAGGCAGCCAACTGATGTTGTCTCTCGTCGATGTTTTTATCTCTCTCTCTAAAAAAAGTATAACTGGAAGGAACATGGGCCTATCAATTAGTCACTTTCGGAAGCATCAGAGGCAGACCCTGTGTGTCATGTACCTTGCTCTCCCGTTCCCTAAGAATGCTGAGCTGACCCTCTTCCGTTTGCTAGGCTAGCAACCAGAGGCACCCCCCCCCCCTCCCCGCTTCCCCAGCACTGACTGTGGGTGAGTCTGGGCTGATTCCCTTCCCTGGGCTCAGCTTTCTCATTTGTAAAGTACGAGGACTTCTCAAGACCCTAACTTCTGGGATCAAGAGATGGGGATTGGAAAAGGCACATTTGTTTTGAGCAATGTAAATTATCCCGGCTGGTGCTGGAAAAACTGGGGTGTCCTGAAGAACACCCCAGTCTACCATCATGTTGAAACAAATGAACCACACGGAAGATTAGTTTTCCTGGTCTCCCCTGAGAAAAACAAACTGGTTACTAATTAAAATAATTTCTTTCTTTTTTTCTTTCTTTTTTTTTAACAAACTCTGAAGTCTCCCTTGGTTTTTTTACTGGAGTGTTGGGGTAAAACAAAATCCTTGATAAGACGACTAAATACCCTGTGTCTTGAAATGTCTTGAAATGCCAGTCCTTCACAGGGGAATGTGAGTATAAACTTCTCATCTTGTACCATTATTAAAGGAAGCAGATCTCCCAGAAGAAAGCACCTTTCTGGGCCTCTCGGACCAAACCAGAAGCAGCTGAAATCTGGCAGCGGTTCAAAGGTGAAGTCATTCGGGCCCCTCTACATTCTCAATTCCTCCCCCACCCTTGCACATGTCTGCCACTAGATGGCAGCACAGCCCCAGAAAGAAAGGCCTCTCACAAAGAGCTCAGTCCTAGCAGCCAGTCTGCTCTGTGGACTTTGTGCAGGCCTTGCCAGTAAGGAGGGGGAAAGGGCGGTAGGAGGGGGCCCCTTTTCTAAACAGTGCAGAGAAAGGTGTGCAGACCCCAGAAGGTGGGCTGCTCTACCATTCCAGTACTGCAACGTGGACGTCTTAAGTGCGAATGAAGCTGCAGGGAAAAAGAGTTAGATTGGGTGGGGAAAAGGTTTGCTGGCAGAAAACCAGTGAAGATAGGACCCCCGTGGTTGTGGAGGTGTCAGCCACACTGGAGACAGGAGCCCAAGTCTCAGATTCTTCCAATGAGGCCATATTTTGACTTTGCTCAAAAGTCAGTGAACTGATATTTAGTGAACAGCTACTTTGCGCAGGTAATCTTGAGACTTCATAGCTATATAAGGTACTACCTTTGAACTTCAAGTTCTTAGGAGACACACCACAACACATTCCTATCATGTGGGTAGTCGGGACTATCTTCTCAGAATGATGTGATTGAAAATTTGGAATTTTATTAAAATGTTATCATGGTGTTCCATGCCCCCCCTACACAGACACACACACACACACAACTGCAAATGAATCTCACCCTGAGGGTCTTACTTGTGGATGTAGCCTCAGTACTTAGCAGTGTCCAGCACACAGTGGGAACACACACACAAAAGATCTTATTAAAAGAAATGTCTCCCCTAAGTGTGAACATCCAGTAGTGGGTAATTCTGCATCCTAAGAATTTGTTTGTAGAACCGTGGGTAGAAGCATCAGAGGCCAGGAGAGAGCTAGGAGAGAGCAGGGGGAAAAGGGAATTTGATGAAAGGGAGGGAGAAAGGGGACAGTCGTTACCAGCAGTTCCTGGGGCTTGATGGAGTTGTCGGTGTAAATGCACAGCTTTTCTGCAGTCAGAGGGATGGTCTCTTTGAGTTTGGAGGCCAGGAACATGCAGACAGCACCCAGGAGCTGAAGGTGGGTCTTAGGAGTCGGGACCCCGGCCAAGAAGCGGTCCAGGTAATTCATGGCCAAAGGGAAGACCTCCTCCTCACACTTCTGCTCCTCACAAACCTACAATGTAGGAAAGAGTCCGAGGGAAGGGGGAGAAAATAATATCAGGAAAAGAGAAAAACAATGAAAAGCATAATCTATGGAAATTACCAAAAAAATGTTTAATTTTTTTATGGGTGGGGGGAGGGGAGTAGAATGTGTGATAATAAAGATGAGGAAATTGGGGTAAATCTAAATAGCCCATCGGTGCTGGGGGATTCCCCAGAAGCCTAAAAAAAAAAGAAAAAGAAAAAAAGAGGTGAAATTAAAGACCCAAAACGGGGAGGCAAAGAAATGCGCAGCAGCCGCCCGCAGCTCCACGCCGCTCCCTTTGGCTACTCACTTCTTCGCTCACTCTAACTCACTCACTCTCTTTTTTGGATTTCGTCATCTTTTCAAAAAATCAATAAAAATATTCTGGAGGCTCCGGGGGTCTTCTTCTTGGTCCCATCCGAACCCCCAGACCCTACTCTATCATTCCCGACAATTGGAAAAAATGTTCCGGGGGGTCCCCGCGGTCCAGGCGCCGCTATTGGGGGGTGGGTGGGGAGAGGTGGGGAAGGGAGGGGGAGGGCAGAGAGGAGGAAGAGCGCGGCAGCCGCAGCGGCTGGAGTCGGAGCAAGGGGGGACGGTTTCAAAAAATAATTAAAAATCGAGGAAATATCCTAGAAAAGCCCTTTTGGCGTGAAAACCCCAAAGAGGATCCAGGCTTTCAGAAACGGAGGTTTCGGGTGCCGGAAAGGTCTGTTTCTCGATCCCTGGGGCTTTGGATCCCGAGGGGAAACTTGGAGGGGTGAGCCGCGGCGGGAGTGTCCGGCTGCGGCCCACAAGGGCAGAAACTAGGGGACATGGTAACGAGCTGGGGGAGAGACGAGGACCTGGGAGCCACCGGAGAGAGGCACAGAGGCTCCGATCTCAACTTTAGGGGTGCCCCGATATCCCCCCTATACACACCTCTCCCCCCCCACCTTCCTACCCCACCCAAAATCTCCGTACAGAGGAAACTGGAAAGCCAAACTGTAAGTAACCACTGTGAAGTGGGGGCTGGGGGAGAGGGCACTATGAGAAGTGGTGTGGCCGCGATAATGGGGTGCGAGGGGGAGCGGGCGATGTTTTCCAGCCTTTCCAACCAGAGTTTTGCAAAGCAACATGGCGAAACCATGGCAGGTCCAGAGCCGTGCATACGTGGGCACACGGCTTGCTCTCGGCAAAGATTTGGAGCAAGGGTAAAGAAATGGTTCTTTTGGGTTCCCCCAAAACACACGTTTCTTCAATATGACTTCCGGGGCTCCTAAATTCCTGGTTCCTCTCCTCCCTCCTCCCTCCCCCTCCCCCCTTAAGTGCCAACGCGGAGTCGCGACCACATGCGGGGACCTAAGGCTAGGACGAATTTGCTCTGGCCTTCGGGGGGCTGCTTTTATTTTTACTTCTGGGTCCAGATTTCACGGTCCTACTCCCTTCTTAACTGCATAGAAAGCAGCCGCGGCTTCGCAAAGGACAGGTCGGAATGGGGGTGGGAAGAAGCAGCCACATGTATGCACACGCGCGCGGGATGCTCCCCCACCCCCACCCCGGGACAGCCTCGTTTCTCCCAGATTTTCCTCCTTCCTCTCCCTCCCCCTCCCCCAATTAATCTTGCACCCAGCAAGGATAAAGCCGCGCGTCTCGCCAAAGGGCGCGGGGTAACCTCGCACACAGGAGCGGGGAGGTGGGCGCTGAGGCTATCCTCTCCCGGTTTTAGGGCGCCTACGTGGGTGGGGGGAGAGAGTGCGGGTGGGAACAGACAGAGCGGCTGTCTGCAGACCTACCTCCAGCATCCAGGTGGCCACCATCCTGCGCATGTAGGGCTGGATGTCCTTCTGCACGCATTTGAAGTAGGAGCACTGGGGAAGGTAGCGCTCCTCGATGGTGAGCAAGTTCTGCAAAACGCGGTCGTCGTAGAGCAGGTTGCCGTCGGGCACGGCCCTGCGGACTCGGTCCATCTCGCAGCACAGCAGCTCCATAGCCAGCCGGGTGCCCACTCGGTCCCCTGCTTTCTCCGGACTGGAAAAGTTTTTTGAAGGGGGGAGGGGAAAGGGTTCCCCTTACCTCCTTCCTTTGGCTAATTGGGGTTTTCGAGGGAAAGCTAAGGGCAGAGAGGGAAGCAAGAGTATAAGAGAGGAACGGAGCGAGCGGTGGGAGAGGAGAGCCGCGGGGTCTGCTGACTCTGCCTGCCCTCCCCTCCAAATTGTCTCGCTCTCCCGAGCTCACTCTCCTCTTCTGCTCTGCGAGGCAGTGACGCAAACTGGCTGGGCAGTTCTCCTCCCTCTCACTGCGCTCCCCTCTCTGGTTCCTCCTCCCCTTCCCTCCCCTCATGTCCCTCCCCTCCTCCTTCCAATCTCTCCCTCCCTCTCTCCTCTCCCCTCTTGTTATTAAGGAGAACAGCAGCTGGCCCGACCAAACTTCAAACGCGGTCCCCCGCTCCCCCCTTCACCCCCTCCTTAGCTCTCCGAGGCCCTCTCCCTGCATCCAGCCCCGCATGCCAGGGGCCCCGGATAGGGGGACCCACAAAAAAAAACACCGATTTCTATTTATTCCCTTTAATTTCGCATACTCTGTAGATGTATCATACCAAAATACGACCCTTCAACTTTGGCTTCTTCAAAATTCATCCTATCACCCTGCCCATGTATTGAGGATCCAGCAATGACGGGGAGATTGCCTGAAGATGGAGTGGGCTCAGACAATTTAGAAATAGACCCATTAAGTGAAAACTAAAGCGTGCGACTTCAGAAAATTGCAGCCTCGCATACCCAGTGATAAAGGCTATGTCCCTGAAATTTTTGTTCCTGATCATTTCGAAGCGGTTTCAAAAGCCCAGTTAAAGGGACCCTTCCCTGCATCACGCCCCCCCCCCCCTTACACACGCTCACAGTGTGGCCAGAAAGGAGAGGAAGGGGGGTGGTGATAGGAGGGAGGAGGAGGCTTCTCCGACGTGGTAGAATGTGACCCTGAGCAGAAAACGTCTTGTTCTTGGGGGCGCTATGGACGCCATTGGGAGACACGGCGAGGCGCCCACAGCTGCTGTAGGCCGGGGGCAGGGCTGCAAGCGGTTCCTCCGCGGCCAGCGGCCACGCAGGAAAAACCCGCTTCCTCGCCCCTGCATCTGCTGACAAGCCGCCCGAGGTGTCTGCGCGGAGCGTGGCCACACTGATACAGCTTTCTAGGAAATAGCCCGGGAGGGGGAGGGGTGGGGGGAGAGGGAAGGATTAGATTTGGCTCACCCTCTCTCCCCCCGCGCCAACGCCACCCCTTTCTTTCCTCTGAGGCCCCTGACTTCCACCCCGGTCCCTCGTCTTCATCCTTGCAGACCCCTCGGGTTCACGCCTCACTTGCCAACCAGGTTTTTTCCCGGGGAGCAGTACTGAGGTGGAGACGCTGCCCGTGCAGTCGGCTATGACACGTGCTCAAATGCATCCTCTGGTCAAGGCTGCTTTCACAAGGGATATGGTGGCGTTTCCTCACCTCCTTCCTCTCGCCATCCCCCACCCTGCCTTTCAGCGCGATTTCACTTTGGGAGGAAGGGGAGTGAGCCCAGCACCCCAGTGTGTTGGCCAAGCTGGCACGTGCAGTGAGCATGGCGTGAGTCGGGGCTCTGGACCCACCGAGGTCCGCCGAGTACAGCCTTTCCCGAGAACGGGGGCCCAAACTGGGGTGTGGAGAGCAAATGTGTGTGTGGGGAGGGGGCGGCTGGATGAGCAGTTTACATGGTTCCCTTAAAGGAGGGGGTGGTGGAATAGAGAAGGCGGGGAGTGAATAAACCAGAGGTGCTAGCGATTAACTCTGGCCCGGGGTCCAGCCCCTAAACGAGGGTGGGGCGGAAAGGAGCGGGGGGAAGGGATATCGCTTTAAAAGGGTGTGTAAGAGTTTGGGGCGCCGTCTCCCCTCCCTCTATTTGCATAGCCAATGGCTCTGGGGCTCCTGCTACTGCGCGCTGATTGTTACCGGGCAGATTACTTTTTTTTTTTCTTTTCTTTTTCTTCTTCTTTTTTTTTTTTTTTTTAGTAGGACGAGTTCCCCGCTACATCAAAAGGAAGCCAAGGCAGGGCGGAGGGAGAGCGGGGACTGGCAGGCGAGGCTGGGGAGAGGCCCGGCGCCTCCGACCTTATCAATAGCCGCGGGAATTAGTGTTCAATCTACTGTATAGAAAGAAAGGGGAGGGAAGGGGCGGGCGAGGAAAATGACTAATTGCTGTGGAAGCCATTAGCTTTCGGGAAGAAAAAAAGCTCACTGAAAAACCCAAGTTGCACACTCAAAATGAAACTCTCGGGGATGACAAGCTCAACGTGATGACACTAGGGCCCAGTCCAGTGTTCCTCCGAATAGAGTCGGTCCCTAACAATCACCTATTGATTTTACTCAACTTGGACTTCCCGACTCAAGCTGTTGAGTCACTCCGGGTAAATACATTAACTTACATTTTAAGACCCCCATAAAGGAAATACTCAAACTTAACCTCAGCCGCCTTGGAACGGATCAAAGAAAGCTGCGGGGGGGGGCGGGGGGGGGCTGAGAGGTATTTTTAAAGTATAAATCTACCCCCGACAGGCAAGGGCAGAAGTCAGCGAGGGCTTCCAGCCTCTTGACATCACTTGATAACTAACCAAGCGGGGTCCTCTCTCCATCTTCCTTCAGGGAAAGCATCCCCAGCCCTGGGTCTCCTGGAGGGAGGCGGGAAAAAGGCGGGTGGTCGTCCTCCGGGCCTCGCCCACCCTGGGGAGAAAGCCTGGGTGGCGAACCCTCAAGTCTCTGGCCCTCTCGCCCCTTCCCTCCGCCCCTAGCCCTACCCCTACCCGCGTCTGGCTTTGCAGCGAAATTCCGGCGGGGAGCGGGGCGGGGGTAGAGGTGGCTGCGAAGGGGAGGGGCTCGGGTGGATTCCCCCTTCTCAAATCACCAAGACCCGCGAGTTCGGATGCTTCCCGCGTGGCAGGCTCGCCGTTACAAGTTCCCCGACTCACTTCCCCTTCCTATTAGGGACTGCTCCTGAAGATCAACTTTGCAAGGAATCCGTCCCCCAGTCCCGTTTCAGTCTCCAACACGTGGGGTGGGGCGCGAGAGGGTGCGGAGGTTGGCAGGAATGTCTCGGAGAGGCTTGGACTAGAAACCGAGTTTTCCCTTTTGGTCGCCACTCCGACCATGTGTTAAAATCTTCATTTTGCTAGGTAAAAAAAGCACTCCACCTACCACGTGGGGAAAACGCACGTTGCCTCCTGGGCAAAACTGCGGGTTTTCTTTAAATGTAGACATAGGCTCCTAGAAAAACCTAGCGCTTGTGCTGAGGCTTCGAAGTAAAAGCTGGGCACTTGGGGGGGGGGGGGGGTGAGAGAAAGAAAGGACAAAAAAATGTTGGTTCTTCCTTATCCTTTATTCACGCCGCAAGAAGAAAAAAATATCCTGTCTTTTGTAGGATCAATGATAAACTTAAGCGAACGCAAGTTTTATTGCATTTTTATTCCCTCCCTTGCCGGCTCCCCACTCCCTACTCTTCACGTCTTGCAGTTTCGGTTGGAAAGTGTACAAAACCCTGTAGGTGCAGGGTGCAGCAGGGTGTTGGGTGTTTATAGACACATTTTTGCAGGAACTTGCAACGCTAAGCACACATACTCCCAAGCTCACCTGGCGGATGCCCGCCAACCAGGTGATCCCGTCGCCTCCTAGCTTCAGAGTCTGGAGAGTTCGAGCCCCGCTGCCTCCGCGTGGGGGCTCTCAGGCCGGGTGGGAGGAGGGAGTGAGTTCAGGCTCAGGAATGGGGGCCATCGCCCTCCTCGACCTCCCTGTAAGGGTAGAACTGTGTATGTGTTTCTCCTTTGAGGGATGGATGGTCAGACAACCAGAACTAAAACCCGACGGTTACTTAAAAGTAGATGGCAATATGTCCCAATCCCAGCTCCGGGCCCTGAGAATACCTGGAAGCAACAGGAAGAAGTACAGAAAGAGGAATTGGGGGGGCGGGCAATAAGAAGCGAGTAAGAGCAAGCCAGGAAAATGTGCGAAAGGAAAAGAGGGAAAGGTCGGCAAATGGAGAGCACAGGGGAAGGTGGGTGGATAGAAACGAGCTGACGGGAGTCTCCCCGAAGCCTGGGCAGTGCGATTTCAGGTGTAAATAGGCTTCCGGGGGCCCTCTCGCCACCGCCACCCGCCCGCCACGTCTTCGGGCGCTTCGGCTCCTGCGGGGGGCACAGTCGCCCGGCCTGCGCCCTGGTGGCGCGCTGCAGCAAGGACCAGGCTGCGTGCCTGGAGCAGCAGATGCGATAGGCGCGGGTTAGGAAGATTGCGCCTGCCGTCTGTTCACCCACCTAGCATCTTTCTCCCCTCCCTTGGAAAAAAAATAAAAAGTAAAAGGACCCGAACTTCCCCCTCTTCCTGTCTGATTCAACTGTAGGGCACGCCTCCCACGGCCGAAAATAGCTCTGGAAATGCAGTAGCTTTTATAAAAGTGTATTTCCCTATACGATTTGGGGCGGGGGGCGTCTGGCTCGCGGCGTCGGCGGGGTCCTGCCTCCGGGGAGGAAAAAGAACGGGCCTCCCAGGTCCCTCGCCCTCCCTCGGGCGCCCCAGGAGGGGGCCGCTGGGCGGCGGAATCGCGCCTCCGCTCGGGGAGCCACCACGCGGCTTTTTCGCGGAATTTTGACGTCACCCACACGTGGGGGAAGGGGCTGGGAGAGCGAGAGGAAGCGGCGGGGGAGGGGGCCGGCGGGCGGGCAGCGGCGCTGGGCGGCGGCTGCGTGTCCGGCTCCGCGCGGTGGGCTCGTGAGCCCGGCCCTGCCGAGTTGCGGGAGTGGAAGGCTGTGCCCGTTGGCCCGCAAGCCGCGGTGGCCACCCTCCCCCAGACCCTCCCGCCCCGCCATCTTCCACCCCCGCCTCCGTCTTCCACCCCCAAAGAGGGTTTTTTGGTTTTTTGGTTTTTTTTTCTGGTGGTTTTTTTTGTTTGTTTGTTTGTTTTTGACTTTGAAATCAGGAGCAGCTCTTGACTCCGGAAAAGGCTTAGGTCTTTGGCTTGTGGTCCAGTTCCGCTCGGTAGCGACATCAGCTTGAATATCGCGAGTGCTGGTCGCGACACCGCGGCACTTAGCTTTCTGCCCTCCCTGCCTCGAGGGAGACGTGAATGTGTTTTTCTGCCCTTCGGGTCATGAGTCCTGCCTTTACTTTTACACCAGGAGTGGTTCGCGCGCGACCTATTCCCTCCTGCTTTCCGCCCCATTCACTATTCAAATA